GAGCCACTCCTCTCTATCAATATAATAAGGAGCATGTACAATACAGAGAGCCACTCCTCTCTATCAATATAATAAGGAGCATGTACAATACAGAGAGCCACTCCTCTCTATCAATATAATAAGGGACATGTACAATACAGAGAGCCACTCCTCTCTATCAATATAATAAGGGACATGTACAATACAGAGAGCCATTCCTCTTTATCAATATAATAAGGAGTATGTATAATACCGAGAGCAACTCCTCTCTATCAATATAATAAGGAGTATGTACAATACCGAGAGCCACTCCTCTCTATCAATATAATAAGGAGTATGTACAATACCGAGAGCCACTCCTCTCTATCAATATAATAAGGAGCATGTACAATACAGAGAGCCACTCCTCTCTATCAATATAATAAGGAGCATGTACAATACCGAGAGCCACTCCTCTCAATTAAGAGAAGCACCTCTTCACCAGGTAAAACAACAACACATAAAATGGTGTCATTTCATCCATATAATGCATAATATGCAAATACAAAGTTTTATAAAAAAAAAATACGAAATTTTCCAAATTTATTTTCTTAATATATTTTATTATCAATTTTGTCAGTACTACTTTTTCTACATTCAACAAAATTCTACATTTAACTAAGATTTGGTTTTCAAATTACAATAAATATTATCAATCTGTAAACAACAAAATATTATTAATAGGTTTAAGGATGTGCATATATGTAATTGCAAAAACAGTTTTTTTTATTGAAACCTTACAGACAGGTATTAAATGCAGTGTTCCATTCAAATCAAAGGCGACTTCTCATATTCATTCTAGTTTATCAAAACTATCATCAAAGGTTTTTGAACAACATATTTTTTATCATATAATACTATTTCACGCTGATATGAAGGTATAATACGTTGCCTCGAGGAAACATCGGGAAACTTAAAGGAGCATTTATGCTGTGAGCGCTCTATAAATAGGATCTTACATGAGTTTCCATTTCATATGAGATTTATGAAAGGAGTCTTAAAGAATTTTTCAATTTAACGAGCCTTTGGCGAGCTAAAATGAAAAATTCTTGACGAGTTCTTATGCAACCTTAAGATGTAAAAAGCCGCCATTTTGATTCTAGTGCTTAAGTCTGTGACGTCATATACTTGTCCTAGGCCGACGTCACAATTGAAACAATTGAAACTTACAACCAATCACAGGGCTGATAGGTCATATTACATGGGTTAATACGCAAAAAAATATGACATGGGTATATTCACTAGATAACACAGTACATTATGTGATAAACAAGGATTGATCATCAGTTATATACAAAGTTTTCATTTGGTCTGTCCTTGGTTTGTTGGTGCGGGTTGGTTTGGATGGTGGGGGCTAGCATGCTGCATGCCCAGGTAGCTGTTATGATAGGCGGTGAAACAGCCCCGACTTCCGGTACAGAGTGATACGTCACATTGGCTACACTTATACCGTGAGTAGATGTACCACCCGGACTTGGTCCGCGCCTTCGTTACCTCGCACCAAACGCAAGGCTTCTTGTACGCACCCGGTCCATCCATCACGATTGGTAAGTGCTGAACCATCCCATGATCAATACCAGAGAGGGGGTAGGCACCTTGACGGACCGTACCATATCGTGATCTTTCGTTTGTTTGACTGTGCGACCCTGCAAGCATAATAAACCATACACCATTAGGGTACACAATACTAACAGAACAGAAGTCACTACGATAAGCATTGGGTCAAAATATAGATACACTCTATTATACACCGATTGTTTCTGTATGTACTGTAAATCAAACTAAATGATGGCTTCATAATAGTGACGCGCATCACAGTGGCTTTTGCTCCAGAATCTTCTCACTTTACACCCGGGTGGTGATGTATATATATCAGACTTTGGCCTGATCTAACAGAACGTTGTCAGACAGACAGTATAATGTTAAAAACCAAATGGTGTAATCCCCCAGCAGATTTGGAATTATCACTGTTTATACGAGGTAAATGGTACGACATTCCATGCAGTGTCAAGATGTTTGGTCCATGTCCTGAATGTAGTGTATGCCATTCCACAACTGTTATATTGCATTACATGATGCGTCTCTTACATACACCTAACGATTAAGTGTTTTCTAACCTTTGGTATTGCATGACCTTAAGCAGTTCGGGTTATATCAGTCCACACAGGCCCAGAACGATTGTCTTCAACCCAAATTCCGGAAAATTATTAATAAATTTTACAATAACAGACCCATCAAACAGTTCAGGATAGATTGAAGTCTAAAGAAACATATCTACACACTAAACACATCAGCTTTTCACACTCCTCACAAGCCTATCTCTTGTTACAGCTGGAAATGATCAGCTAGCCGCACCCTTCATGGTAAAAATCTGATGCAGGTATGTGTCATAATGGCCATCACATTGACATAACTTCATAGCACAATAGAATTTAATAATGAAAATAATAATTGGAAACAATACATATGACGACATATTCAGGGTTGATTGGGAGAACATACACGAATCAGAGAAGAAACAAGGTACAACTGTTGGTAAACATCGTCAGTGAACATATTAGCAATAGGTTGTGTCTCTACATGCACAAACACCAGCCCATTCCCAACCCAACCCCCAACTCAGGTTGAGATTTATCTATCATACATTCACAACGAGGGACTATTTTATTTGTTATACCTATCAAAGACGGCAACTGTTTTGTGGAAATTCATCCATTTTTTTAATTAAAAATCTTTTTTTCTATAGACTGGAAACTTATCCTCCTGGCAAGAAATAAATCATACACAACGGTTGCCACGAGACATCGTGAGGGTTGTCACATGTGACATGAGACCGTGACATGTGACATGAGACATCATGACCATACCATATGTGATGACGGGAGACATCATGACGGTTGGCAAATGTGGTGACAGGAAACATCATGATGGGTACCACAAATGGTGACAATGGATATCATGACGGGTGCCGCATGCAGTGCACTTCAGATTTAAACCTTCCACTTTATCTGTATTCACCTTCTTTTTCCTTTTTGTAGAGTCTGTGATGCCTTTCCCTTTGTGCTAATGTCTCCTAGCATGTCTAATGGTCGTGTTGATGTCTAACGTCTTGTGTACTTTTTGTGCTGGTATATTTATTTCTACACGATGGCACTAATTAGTGCCGTATGTTCCAATAGGAACTTTGTAATTCAATTCATTAGCGTCATCAAAATAACGGATTATAATGCAACTGCTAACTAAACCATTCCTGCTTCATCGTTTAATATAACACAACCTATACATATGTCCTGTAATACAGCACAGAAACGGCTGTGTTCTGTTCCGACCAGGACTCAAATTCCAACAACACTCTATTTCAATGAAACACACTGTAACATCAACATTGTTAATAGTGAATACTGAAAATCAGGAGCAAATGCTACTTTCGGTTTCCTAGTGGTATGTTCAAGTGTCCTTATTTTCAATCACACTTCCTACTATAATACATATTGAAGCTGTTTTCTAAACCAAACTGCAGTTTTATTTCATACTTTCAATAGTGTTCTCTCTATCTTCGTCAACAAGAATAAAAGCTTCATACACGTATCTATGTTTTGAAACTGGTCTTTTTCGGTATTGTGAACATTGCAAGTATCCATTCAAATACCCCGTGTTGTTTTTGCAAAACAAAAAATAATTTTCCACCCAACAGCTCAGGCACTTGTTAGGGCACTTGGTGACATGCTGCTGCAATAGATATACCAATGTTGTCACGTGGTGTCGGCATGTCCTCCGATAAGCATTTGTCAAGTCACTGGGGTGCGGCCACATCGACACTTGTATGGCCACTAGGATTGCTGCCCCATCCAAACATGAGAGGTCAGTGGGATTGCCGCCCCATCCAAACATTCAAGATAAAATAATGGCGGGATGTTCGCAGCATACTTGTGAAGTTACTTGATATCGTGTCCGCCCCATTCTAGGTAGTTGTGGTACTGAGTGAAACAGTCTCTCTTGCCTTTACACAGTGGGATGTCACATGCCTCACATTTAAAGTAGGTGTAGGTATACCAGCCAGACTTGGTCTTCACTTTGTTGATTTGACAATACACACATGGCTTTCTATATCCTGCGGTGGTTACCGGCCGGTGGATTTTTGTATCAAATTCGTCGTGCTTTAAGGGCAGGGCGGTGTGTTGTACGGAACTTCCGGGGACATAACTCAGATGTAAGCCTTGAACCTGTCCCTGTCTGTCCCGCAACTGTTCAACAACCTGCTCCAGACCGCGGGCATTCTTGCCTGAAAACCAAAACAGAAGTTGAATTGTCAAATACTGCGTATTAGCAATGGTGTTATTTTGTTTTGCCGATATTCGGAGCAAAATATATTATTTAAAACTTAACATATGCTAATGATTTTCAGATTTAAACTCGGATTCTCGACCGAATAAAGGATAAATTCAGACAAGAGAAAAGCCGTCATGTCAAGCAAACAGACAATGTATGTTTGTATGCGTGTACAAGGATGTCCAAAGTATATAACCTGGTGACGGCATGTTAGGTTGTGTGTTCTGCCTACTATTCCGTCTTTGCGTATTGCAGAGTTATCTTCTCTTGGGAGCAGGTATTGATTGTTAAGTCATTGGTCTGTGTGAGAAAATTACGTCGTTTTCTCAAAAATTGATGACGTTTCTCTCACAAACAAGTGACGTAACAATCAATACCTGCTCCCAAGAGAAGATAACTCTGCAATACGCAAAGACGGAATAACTGTATCGTCTGCTAGATTTACACTGCTGGTCAAAAGTTTAATTTCTACTAAAACGTGTATGATCAGTTCCAACCCAATGTGATAACCAGTAATGAGAATGATAATCATGGTTCTTCATACAAGCACTTCTGATTACGTGTATAACTTATAATACACTGTATGTTCAAAATCAGGCTGCTGTCCTCAGCCTAAAGCGTCCCTCCCGGTCCACCACGCTTAATGTGCAAACAAAACACATAACACCTTGTTTATCTCTAGCTACAGTTTATTACAATCACAACACATTTAATGTTTGCACATGTAGGAACACGAGTGATATATATGACAAGGTTTTGTAAACAGAAATCAATTTCAAATGAATAGAAACTTCCAACGTCCCCCTCATCAAAATCCAAGTTAAATTCATTCATTGCATAGAACAGCTTAAACCATGGAATTTCATCAAAACATGGGTCCTTCTTACGATCTTAAAAACTGTAAGATTTTGCAACACAGCACAACAGAACCCCCTTCCAGGAAACAATGTTGATCCTTGAAAAGATGGCATGTAAATGACTTTGAAAAGATGCAAAGTTATAGGACACTAAAGACTTTGACTTCAATTAAACTTTCAATTGGCAAAACAATTTTAATTTCAATTAAAATTAATTAAACAAGAGAAATGAATTTCACTTGAATCTTCATCAGGAACAATGACTTAGATTTCATAAAAAAGATCATCAGGTACAAGACACATTGGTTTCGCTTAAAACATACTTAATGCCTTAAAAGTCCCTGAAAAAAAATATGTTCCTTTTTAACTCATTCACCCTCGAAGACACATTTAAGCTCTTCCAATTCATAGGTTGGAATAGTTCATTATGAAATTTCAGGGGTGAGCAAGTTAAAACATGTTTACTAAGTGAAACATAGCTTTGGTAACCTGTCTAGTGTCATATATATATTTCATATTAAGCATGTATATAATCTCCAATTTGGTGTCATATAATATGTAAAACTTTCAACTCTACAAAATCATAAAGTCATCAGTGACACATTCAGAAAGATAAACCACCGATAAATTTGGGCAGAAAATTCCTTTTTTTGGTCATAAGAAAAATTAAATGTTACATATTTGAATGAACAATTTTACAACACTACTATAACAGTGAAACGTGTCTATGGCAATTAGATATAAAAAGAATCATGTTATATGAAATTTGTTACAATAAGTATGTGCGTACATTTGTGACAAAAAATAGCAAGAAACATCTTTGACATTAAACTCATGAATATATACAACCGGGAGAGTAATAACATGTAGACAGGTATCTTCGGAAACATCATTATAATTTTCTATAAAGAATAAAACTGTTATCTAAAGCATCGTCAATTACCGTTAACAAAACGTCTATGGCATAGTATTTGCTAACATGTTTCTATCTGAATTAGACAAGAAAAGGCTTTATTTCTCCTATTTTAAGACAAGGTGGCCATCTTCAGATTTCCAATTAATACTGTTATTAACATCACCTGCTCAGGAATGTAATTCCTATCAATTCCGGTTTTCATTCAACAGTTAGAAATTGAAACGCTGAAATTTCTAAACCAATCAGAGAGCAGGTATTCATGTTTAATTTTGAATGACCGAAAAAAACACTTTATCAGCAGAAAGGCACTCTTTACAACTATTATTTTTGTAAAGTCACCATTGTGGAAATGGAGAAGTGAAAATAAGACACCACAGCAGCTCTCTCAAATCAGCCCTTAATGTATGGCACCAAGTCTGATTAATTATCGCTTACTGAAACTATTTCCAATATTCGACCCCGCCCCTCTGCCCACGTGTCACAAGCGAAAGTCACAGCCTACCTTTTATTTAACATTGAATCCATTTTCACCAATGGATGCTCTTTACTAGATTTAGGTAATACCGACCAGCTATTCTGGACTAAATTAAAGCATTCTACAGAAAAATTGATGACGGACGATGGACTCATTCTCATAACCAAAGCAAATTTAGCTCTTCAAGTAAGGTCCGCTAAAATAGCCTCAGTATGATGTGGTTGTATCTAATAGTATACCACTTAATCATTCAATGACATCTGAAGGTATATTTTAAATTGGTGATATTTACATAGTGATTACAACAGGTAACGGGACAAACGTGTCCTGGGATTCAACATGATAATCGTCATACAATACACACTCACATACTTGGTCAATCTGGACGTCAACAACCTTATATGGTCATAAATGCTTGGATTCTGTGATACTTTGATTTGCCGTTTGTTGACAGATGACAATAGATCCCAACAAATAAATATGTTGAAAAAGCTAAATGCTATATATATTTAACTAAACTATAATATATATATACGGTCTTCAAATACCAACTGTGTGCCACTGATATATATAGTCTATCCGATAATCATTTGGTAAATGGTAAATGGTAAAACCCATCCAAAACTACGTATCAGGAAATGTCACCAGTAGTTTGAAGGAATTCCAAAACAACAGAAAATGTCTGCGATGAAGAACTTTTTTCGATCACATTCTATAACACATCGTACTCTGTGCAAATTCTATCTGCTGTCATAGTCGACCCTCAATCAAATGATTCTAATAAACAACATACAATAATCAGATCTGTACTTCCTGTCGCTGAACATCTCGTTAAAATTGTGCTCATTTTTGTTTTGCTTTGACCAACTCCCTCAAACTGGTATATACAGATAGGTGAAACATGTGTCTAAGGTTAAGGGTACCACCTCAGCACTTCTAATTGCAAAGAAGAGTTCCAGATAAAGCAAGAGTTACTTCCCTTTGCAATGTAAGCATATTTCATATTGAAACAGTGAAATTACAAACTGTTGATTGCAGCAACATTTGTAATATGTGGGATTGGTAGTGGATATGCCAAGAAAAAAACAATTACCAGAAATACGGAGTGAGGCAGCACATATTTTAACTCATTCACCCCCAAAATTTCATAATGAACTATTCCAACCTTTGAAGTGGAAGAGTTCAAATGTGTCTTCAGGGGTGAATGAGTTATTCTGACTCATGGCATGTTCCCCTATTTCTTTTGTTTATCAATCATTTTTTTTCCAAAAAAAACATTAACAAATTTTAGAATAACTGCAATCTGTACAATGAAAAGCAGAAAAATAAGAGGCAAATATTTCATAACAGTGTCATCAGTAATATTACATTTAAATCGTACGGTTCCCTTTACCTTAAGACATATTTTTCTACTTGTATAAAAGTTCCTTCTGCAAAATTCAAATATAATCCTTATTAACCATTACAAAAAAAGACATGGTTTCATTTAAATAAAGTCACTACGTGTGTCGGAACCTTCCACTCGCTAGGTATGTAGATCAATGACAAACAATACCCCAACTAGTATAATTCAATAAAGGTACATATTTTACCACATTCTCAAGACTAGCCATTGGGATTATTGCTCGAAGAACATAATTACATTACTGGTGATATAAAGACATGCAGTGTCACATTAAGTGATCCCTAGACAAACACAACCTCCATGAAGGCTTTGTAGCCTCGGCAAGGATTCATATACAGGTCAGATCAGACTGTGTGTAGTCGTTAAACACTCCAATCTGTATTGCTGCTTTTCAGTCACAGATATCCGGACGAATGCTTATGAGTCGCATCAGGTTCAGATTTGCTCTGACCGGCAGCCAAGTATTCATGGTAGCGCACGAAACAATCTCGTTTGCCCTGAGGTTGACAGAGCGGGATATCACAAGCTTCACACTTATAGTAGGTGTAGGTGTACCATCCCGACTTGGTCTTGACGTTGTTGATCTGACAGAACAAACATGGTTTCTTGTATCCCTTCGCCGTCACTGGCCTGTGGTACATAAGTAAACTGTCCTTCTGGTCAGCAAGGTAGAGACTGTGGTGTGCGGACGATACGTCGCCTATTTGAGGAGACATCAGACTGCCCGTGAGTACGATCCCCATTGGATCGCTGCCAATACCCAGAGCGCCAAAATCGCGGTGCGGATCAGCCCGACCTGGGCCTGAAAGGACAAAGCGAGATGGTAATTAGAGTCCATAAGGCTACACATAAATATGTCAAACAATACTAACTAATACAGCAGTTATGATGACGGGAAAAGTGACCTCGGAGGGTCCATTTTTAGGATAAGCGCTGTATGTTTACACATGTTAAGATGACCATTCTCGTAGAAAAATGCAACCCTTTTTTTTGTTCCATATGCAATCTTGAAAAATATAAACTGTTAATGTGTGAATAACTATACATTGTTTACATCCGTTTCAAAATGGACCTACACTAGCTGTAAATTGGTTACCTGGTAGCTTTGACATATGAAAAAAAAGGGAGACAGAAAGACGGTTAACGGAAAGAAACAGATTGAAGGAATTCAATATCATTATCGACAACAATCTTAAGCACAATACAATAAGGAGACATGATCTAATCAGACTTAAAATGCCCTTTAAAAAAACACATTGTTTAGCAAAACACTTCCTATAAAGGTTCTGTGATTGTACAACACCCTTCAAATGTTGTTTTGTTTACTTATGTTTTGCGTCCTATAAACAGCTATGGTCATTTAAGGACGAGCTAGTTTTTGTGCGGAGGAAAACCAGAGTACCTGGAGACAAACCATCGGTCAGCGACCATTTCCTGGCGACTGCCCTATGTATGCCTCGAGCCTGCGACCCAGTAGTGGAGGGCTAGTGATTGTAGAGGGACAGACACCTTAACCACTCGGCCACCGTGGCCTCTATCAAATGTGATAAGATCAATAAAACAGATCATGTGACTCTCCCCCAAAGAGGTTGCGGTATAAAAAATGGCCTCACAATTCTATACAAACATGACAATTTTTTTTATTTTAACTTTGCTGTGTATGAGATATGGTCTTGGTATATATAAATTGCGGGTACTAACATCACATCTTGTGGCCTCTGGAGGCACCGATACGATGTCATTACAGATGTTTTTTGTAAATAGTGGTTTCATTAACAGAAAATTTACACCTGGCATTCCCACAAATGTGTTCTATAATGTGCAATACACAAGAACATTTTATATCAAACCTATTCGACTTTGGAAATTGTTTCAGCTACATTGGATGTGGTGTTTGACATTCATTATACATTTTTTTTAATGTTACACAACCTGATGTGTTCATAGTAAGCATCTTTACTACGCGGGTTTTAATCCTTATTCTGAAAAAAGCTCAACATATCTTAAAATCAATATTGTACATTTAAAATACTCGTCTTTCCTTTCTAAATACAAGATAAAACGGAACTACAGTGATGTTTTTTTTTATTGACAACTAATATATATATACAGAACCTGTTACACAGTGCATTCAGGTGTAGTGTATCGCCTGATATTGGTATTGGTACGCAAGTACTAAACTAAACTGACTGACATTAGCAGGCTACGTCTAGAACATTTGGTCATTTGGAACTGACCCGTTGAAGCACACTGTGTCCAAATTACAGAAAGTCAATGTACATTTTCACAGAGGTAATCACAATTCAAATTTTAATACCTGATGTAAATATTGCACTCATATATTTTAATGTTTGTCACGTTTAACTTGTCACACAGAGGCAAGAAATTAGTCAACACGTATACAAATCACCCACACAAAGGTGTTCGTCACAACTCCCATGTCTAACACACTCATGTATGATACATCAAGGTATTCTCAATATTTATATTCATATCACCAATGTATTCTCGTGGTTTATAATCCTTGTTTTCTCGTGGTTTAAATTGACATCGGAGATACATTTATAACACATGTTAGGGTAAGCCTTGCATCATTTCTCTGTCATATCACCCGAATACTTTGACCATGTTGTAAGATGTAAGTAACATACTAATTGGTCAATGTTGATTCCTAGTTCTGGTCAATGTAATACATTTTGTCTAGTGTTAGTTAAGAGACACAATGTGGACGATAGTCTTAATACGATCTCTTCACAACATCACCAATAACTAAACCAGTAATGGTACATCCCTGTTGCAACGCTGTTCTTTAATGAGCAACACAAGGAATTGCTACAAAACCCTGTCGATGTTTGATCAGCAAAATGATGGAATAATCAGCAGGCCGACTTGTATGGTCGGTGAAAACCAGTGACATGTGATCTGTAGTAACACTGCCTTCAGTCTGGTGATCAGCATTAATAAATGAATGATATACCAGTAATGCTTTCCCTTCTCAGTGTGAAATGACTAATACCAGTCGAGTTTGATCCCAAAGGCTCGGTGATACTCTTCAAAGCAGTTCCGTTTGCCTTTACATAGTGACACGTCGCACGCCTCACACTTGTGGTAGGTATAGGAGTACCATCCAGACTTTGTCTTCACGCCCCTCATCTGACAGAATACGCACGTCTTGTACTTAGTACCCGTATTTCTGACAATCTTATGCTCCCTGCTCCCGGGATCGTCCTTTCCCAGTTTAGGGAAAGGTTTTGAATAATCACCACCAGTTTCCTTGGGATATGTATTGGGGAATTGGTGAGGCATATTGGCTGGGTGCCCCATAAACGTGGGCTGAGGGAGATTAGACAGTGATGTTTGGAGATAGGAAGAAAAGACACTGGAGGGAAACTGGCCGGTGACTGGCTGACCTTCTGTGTGTAGGGCACTGGTGTAGGTGGGGAATGTACTGGACAATCCTGCAAGCACAAAAAACAGCTTCAATTATCATAGGTGGTCCTTACGTTTGGCGACAGATAGATATTTGAGATGGGTAGATCATCAATGAAAAAAAGTACAAGCAAGCTTGTGTTTCCATCTGAATTAGGACTAACGGTCGAGAACAAAGTTACTCGATGTTTTGAAATCATTGTATGTCATATAAAACTCAGATGAGAACAGCAGGATTGATTTTGAATTCAACATTTTGAAAGAAAGGGTAGTTGTATCCAATTGTGTGTACAGTTAACAGTGCAATACCCCTAGGAGTAGTCATTGCCATGAAAACAGTGGTAGAGTGGAAGATGCAGAGCTACTTTTTCAATTGTGAAAATGTGAAATATGAGTCACTATTCATGACTGACTTAGAACTAGCTGAGATTCACTCACAGGTGAAGCACATTTTTAAGTGTATCATCTCTCGCATTTCATTTGAACTTTTTATTTGAACAAAACCTTTCTAAATCTCCATTTTAACTATTGTTTCGATATTTGAAAAAGAAACTCCCAGAAAAATAGTTTAAAGAAACATTCAAAAGTATATATATAAGACAAATCTGCTATGACAAAAGCAAAACAAGGAAAAGACGAATCCAATTTGTTGTTAAGATTTATTCTGAAGGTAGACCTCTCATACAAGTTGAGGCTCAACTCATAAGTAACCCCAGAATGTCTGAAACCATATATGTCTTTGTAGTGTCTAGGACCCCCGGGTCGACCATTAGTAAATGAAATATAACAGTGCAAATATACTCCTAGATCGCAAATTCAGACTATCGTTCACTGGACGTGTTTCATCATTTTAACTATATAACGTGGTTACTGGCTCATCAATTCTTCAAGTACAGTACTTCCAACTGCCCTAGGGTGTAAACCCGTACAAGATTGCGTTGCATAAAGCTTACATTGACGGTCATCAGATGTTATACCTCCACATTATTACACCTTATATCTGCAGGTCATACGTCTACGTCAGCTTTTACGTCATCACATATTGTCTTCACGACTTATACTACGTCATCAGAATTTATCTACGTCATCAAATATCCAAACTTTCATTCATAATGGTACTTAAAGCTCATAGTTGAAGTTTAAAAGCTTTCAATCGAGATTTTTTTTTTTTTTTTAAATATCGTTATCAAGCAAGATAAAACTAAAATGTCGGCACTTCCTTAGAAACGATAGTCGGAAAAGATGGGGAAGATCTCAAAACCAGAAAAAAATATTTTGAATTTTTTATTTTTTAATCTCAATTGAAAGCTTTTTAACTTGCACTGTCAGCTTTAAGCCCCTGTAAAATCATAGATTACTGTATATGGAACAAACATAAAGAATGAAGAATTGTATTACTTAGCTTTATTCAATCCAATATATATTCAACAATAGCATTTATGGTAAAATATAGGCGACATTAAAATTCGGTAGGCAAGAAAGACTGAAAACGGAACTTAAATTTTGCTCCCAAATTCCAATTGTTTTCACTTGAGAAAAAATTGACAAATATTCATGCCTGCTTCCATTTGTAATTAATATCCTAAATATTAATGAATATAATGATGAATTAGTACAAAACCATCTGTTTGATGTTCAAAGTCATCACTGGAGATTTATCAATACTGAAATGACAAATAATATACTTGTAATTAACTTAGTAAGCTGACGTAACAGTTGTTTACAAGATATAAGTCAATCCAAAAACACCATGAAATAGTTTTATTTATCACCATATATGCGATACTTTCTTTGTAACAAAAGCCATGCTTCGATGGATGTTTGATAATCTCATGCAAATTCAACAATGAGGTATTTTTTTTAAATCGCATAGACTGTTAAAAAGGAAATTTAATAGAACAACAGGACCAATTCACCATAGAGCCAAAAAACTTTGAAAGACATAATGGCGAGCACTTCGCAAAGAACAACTTTTGTGAGGTTGAGATAATCACAACAGACACCAAATTACTATACATGTACGCATCACATAAACATTTCTTTACTCCTGGTAAATAACACGGCGGTGGCAAGGAATAGGACAGATATATTCAATGACCGAGATCAAAGTATTCCGGGTAAATAACACAGCAGTGGCAAGGAAGAGGAAAGATACATTCAATGTACCGATATCAAGGAATTCCTGGTAAATAACATAGCGGTGGCAAGGAAGTGTACAGACATATTCAATGTTCCAATATAAAAGTATTCCGGGTAAATAACACAGCAGTGGCAAGGAAGAGGGCAGATATATTCAATGACCGAGATCAAAGTATTCCGGGTAAATAACAAAGAGGTGGCAAGGAAGTGGACAGACATATTCAAAGTACCGAT